GAGACAGGAGGGCGCTCCACTTTTTGTCCACTAAGTAGTGCCTGCTCAGCCGTAGCTTCACAGCACCTTCAAACGTCCTCTTTCAAGAATTCCTCGCCTCACCTCGCCTATCCTTTGCCTCCAGGCCTCCGAGACCATGGGACTACAGGCATGTGGGCACCATGCCGGGTCTGTCTCAATTTTGTCGTGACTTTAACTATTCATCCGCTTGGCCAACATTTTTAAATTTTTTTTTCATACCTCTCTCTCCTCACGTAATTTGATTGATGGGTTTTGTCTTTTGTCTTGCTCAGGCTGGATCTCAAACTCCTGACCTTGAGTGATCCTCCCGCCTCAGCCTCCCAGATTACCCACCCTGTTTTACAGTTACCTTGTTGAGATTATATGTCATGAATTTGATCTTATCACTTAACAGTATTTCCAGATTTCTAGTCTACTGTTTTTAACTTTAATAAGTGTTGAGACTGCACTGGTGTGGATGACTCACCACTTGTAAAGGAGGGATCCCAAGAGGCTGGTTTCGAACTCCTGACCTTGAGCAATCCGCCCGCCTCGGCCTCCCAAGAGCTAGGATTACAGGCGTGAGCCACAGCGCCCGGCCTATTTATTTTTTTTTAACAATGCTATGACTGTGCTATTAATCTTTATTTTTTAAATTAAAAAAAATTTTTTTGGTGGGGCATTGGGAAAAGTTTTCATTTAGTAATAATCACTTCTCAGATAAACCTCATTGGCTACGATACTACCACTGTTCAAAACTAATTATCTTTATTTAAATCTATTTTTAATTTTGTGAATCTATGTAAAGAAATAAACCGATAAAAACCAGGTAGTCCTCATAGGAAGAACACCAATGAGATAGCAAAAATTACTGTTGAATAGCATGAGTACTTCTTTCAAATATATAATTTTTAAAAGCTGTTTGCAAACATGACTTTTTATAGATCTCTGAACCACCACCTTTCTCACCAGAGTTCTTCTTAGGACCTCTACTTTTAACAAGGAACTGGAGCTTAGGTCTGAAAGTCAGTAGTAGTGGCCAGTTTTGGAATCTTCAGAACCATGATTTTTGAGAGTTTCCTGTTTGTTTATTTTACTTTAAAAAAAAAATTTAATCATATTTCTCCAGTCATTTCTAGTGGTAAAAAGGTACTGGAAAGGCTGGGCGCAGTGTAAATGATCCTACCACCTGACCTCACGCCTGTAATCCTAGCACTCCGGGAGGCCGAGGTGGGTGGATTGCTCGAGGTCAGGAGTTCGAAACCAGGCCTGAGCAACAACGAGACCCCATCTCTACTATAAATAGAAAGAAATTAATTGGCAAACTAATATATGTAGAAAAAATTAGCCTGGCATGGTGGCGCATGCCTGTAGTACCAGCTACTCAGCAGGCTGAGGCAGCAGGATTGCTTGAGCCCAGGAGTTGGAGGTTGCTGTGAGCTAGGCTGACGCCACGGTACTCTAGCCTGGGCAACAGAGTGAGACTTTGTCTCCAAAAAAAAAATTTAAAAAAAGCTTAATTAAAAACAAAAAACAAAAGCCACACTTTCTATTGGGAAAATTTCCAACATAATCAAAAATAGAATGGTATAATGAACGAGCCCCTCCATCTACCCAGGATCAGTAATTCCCTACATTTTTCTTTTCTTTTTCTTTTTTTCTTTTTTTTTTTTTTTTGAGACGAGTCTCCTTTCGTTGCCTGGCTACAAGAAGATGCTGGTTCAGCTACGCTTCACAGCCAACCTCAAACTCCTGGCTCAAGCCATCCTGCCTGCCTCAGCCTCCCCGAGTAGCGGCGACTCAGGCACGCAGCCACATGCCCGGCCTGAACTTTTTATATTATACCTAATTACGTTCGCCATAATTTATTTTTTATTTTATGTAGAGACCCGCGTCTCGCTCCCAGCCGCGCTTTTTGAACTCCTGACAATTGAGCAATCCACCATGCGCACTCTAGGATCTCACAGCGTACCCCCGCCTCGCCATCCTCAGATCTTTTCACTGAGCCTATTTTCTTACTTTAAGAAAGATCTTGCCTGTCCACCCGCCCCGAGTGCAGTACCTGACCCATAGCTCAACTGCACTTAAACCCTGGCTCAGTACTCTCCCTGCGTCCAGCCTCTTGGGCTGCTAGGATCATAGGGAATGCACCTTCAAGTAATCATAACGTACCTTTACCACCTAAACTTTGTTATATTCCTAAGTGTTGTTCAATACAGGACAACTGTCTACTTCAGCTACTTACGGCCGCCGCGCATGGCTCACACCTGTCATCTACATCTGGAGCGACGGCACGGACCGTATCCTTCTGAGCAAGAACTTCGAGACAGCTGACAACCCTGCAGCCGCTCTAACAACATAGAAAGCAATTAATTGGCCAACTAAAAATATCGAACACACACTACTGGCATGTGGCGCATCTACTCACCGTCAGCACATCCCAGCCGAGGGCAAAACCACACCAGAAGCATGTTGAGCCTACATGCGTTGCTGTGGCAGCTACGGCTGACCCGCACTCCTACCCAGCAACAAAGTGAGACTCCCTGTCTCGCAAAACTAAATAAGTACCGTAAACTGCATATATATGCTTTCTTAAAATGTACTGTCACTGCTAATCCTATGTTTGTGTGGCTGGGAAACATACAAGAGATATTTAAATGTCCAAGTGCTGGAGACAACTTATCTGTTAACATATTTTAGCTTTTAGTGGAAAAATCATAGAATCTATAACGTCAACCCAACCTCGATCTGTCTTAGACAAGAGCAACAATTCCTTTTAGAGCATCCCTATATATTAACAGTGCCAGTCTCAGAAACCTCGAAGTGATCACACTCGTTTGCTATATTCAACTCTGTCACAAAGCGTGCAATTTAAACTTGTCCTCTCTGAAAATACGGTATCACTCTATTTAGCCTATTTTTCTACAAGATAATTGATTTTATTAGACAAACCACAACCTACACAAGGTACTTTATACGGTTTGGGTTAATGCTGAGTCGTGGAAGTTATCTAACAATCAAAGCATGTCTCAATAGCTATCTTTTTTTTTTTTTTTTTTGCGAGCAGAGTTCACTTTGTTCTTTGTTGCCCAGGCTAGAGTGAGTGCCATGGTGTCAGCCTCGCTCACAGCAACCTCAAACTCCTGGGCTCAAGCGATCCTCCTGCCTCAGCCTCCGAGTAGCTGGGACTACAGGCATGCACCACCATGCCCGGCTAATTTTTCCTATATATATTAGTTGGCCAATTAGTTTCTTTCTATTTATAGTAGAGATGGGGTCTCGCTCCTGCTCAAGCTGGTTTCAAACTCCCGACCTCGAGCAATCCGCCCGCCTCGGCCTCCCAGAGAGCTAGGATTACAGGCGTGAGCCACTGCACCAGGCCTGTATATATATTTTTAGTTGGTCAATTAATTTCTTTCTATTTTTGGTAGAGATGGGGTCTCGCTCAGGCTGGTTTCGAACTCCTGACCTTGAGCAATCCGCCCTCCTTGGCCTCCCAAAGTGCAAGGATTACAGGCGTGAGCCACCGCGCCCGGCCTAATGCATTCTTTTATAATGCTTATTCTTTAAAGTATTCTTTGTGGACAATATTTTTCCAATTTGCTTATTGCTTTTATTTGTTTTATATCCTTCTCAAGCATATTATTTTACATTTTTTATATTAGCATCATGTTTTATTTGTTTAGCTTGCCAGCTGGCTGAATGAGTTTTAATTTGAAGCTAGTTGTTCAAAATCCTCTGTTCTACCACATTGGTATTATCAGTATACACTACTGGGCTCTCATTATCTTAAGTCATTAATAAAATGTCTTTTCTTGGCTGGGTGTGGTGGCTCACGCCTGTAATCCTAGCTTCTGGGAGGCTGAGGCGGGTGGATCGTTTGAGTTCAGGAGTTCGAAACCAACCTGAGCATAAGCGAGACCCTGTCTCTACTATAAATAGAAATAAATTAATTGGCCAACTAATATACATAGAAAAAATTAGCCAGGCATGGTGGCACATGCCTGTAGTCCCAGCTACTCGGGAGGCTGAGGCAGGAGGATCGCGTGAGCCCAGAAAGTTTGAGGTTGCTGTGAGCTAGGCTGATGCACGCATTCACAGTAGCCTGGGTAACAAAGTGAGATTCTGTCTCAAAAAAATAAAAAGACCAGCCTAAGCAAAAGGGAGACCTCCTCTCTACTAAAAATAGAAAAAATTAGCCGGACTTGGTAGCATGTGCCTGTAGTCCCAGCCTATAGTCCCAGCTACTCCAGGGGCTGAGGCAGGAGGATTGCTTGACCCCAAGAGTTTAAAGTTGCTATGAGCTAGGTTGCCGCCATTGCACTCTAGCCCTGGCAATAGAGGGAGCGAGACTCTGACTCAAAAAAAAAACAGTCTTGTCTTGTTTTTTCGAGACAGGGTCTTGATCTGTTGCCTGGGCTAGAGTGCAGTGGCATCATCATAGCTCACTGCAACCCAGACTCCTGGGCTCAGACGATCCTTCTGCCTCAGCCTCCCAAGTAGCTGGGACTACAGGCATGTACCATTATGCCTGGCTAAGTTTTTTCTTCTTTGTAGAGAGGAGGTCTTGCTGTGGCCTAGGTCAGTCTCAAACTCCTGGTCTCAAGCGATCCTTTCTTCTCGGCCTTCCGAAGTGCTAGATTTACAGGCGTGAGCCACCGCACTTGGCCAATAAAATGTCCTTAAGTGTAGGGAAAGGGCTCTCTGCATCTTTTGTTCCTAGTGCATTCTGATACTTAGATGATTATATTTCACTGGCTTTTACTCTTCTGGGATTTGTCAGTGATGCTTCAAAATATATAGAGTATTTATTTGTTTGTTTCTTATACAGAGAGAAAGAAGAATCCGTTCAGCTTCATCAGGAAGCTTGGGAACGACATCAGTTAAGGAAGGAACTTCGTGGCAAAAACCAAAATGCTCCAGACAACCGACCAGAGGAAAATTTCTTTAGCCGCCTGGACTCAAGTTTGAAGAAAAATACCGCTTTTGTCAAGAAACTAAAAACTATTACGGAACAGCAGAGAGACTCCTTGTCTCATGATTTTAATGGCCTAAATTTAAGCAAATACATTGCAGAGGCTGTATCTTCTATTGTGGAAGCGAAGCTGAAAATCTCTGATGTGAACTGTGCTGTGCACTTGTGCTCTCTCTTTCACCAGCGTTATGCTGACTTTGCCCCATCACTTCTTCAGGTCTGGAAAAAACATTTTGAAGCAAGGAAAGAGGAGAAAACGCCTAACATTACCAAGTTAAGAACTGATTTGCGTTTCATCGCAGAATTGACAATAGTTGGGATTTTCACTGATAAGGAAGGTCTTTCCTTAATCTATGAACAGCTAAAAAATATTATTAATGCCGATCGGGAATCCCACACTCATGTTTCTGTGGTGATTAGTTTCTGTCGACATTGTGGAGATGATATTGCTGGACTTGTACCTAGGAAAGTAAAGAGTGCTGCTGAGAAGTTTAATTTGAATTTTCCTCCTAGTGAGATAATTAGTCCAGAGAAACAACAACCTTTCCAGAATCTTTTAAAAGAGTACTTTACGTCTTTGACCAAACACCTGAAAAGGGACCACAGGGAGCTCCAGAATACTGAGAGACAAAACAGGTGATTTTCAAATGTTTCTCAGAATTGAGAATTTATTTTGGAGCTCATACTTAAAAATGTTTAAAGTCTTCATGCCACTGAAAGAACTTATGGAAAAGGGCTCCTTACAGGTGATTTCTTAACATTCCAGGAAAATTTCAAAGTGTAACAGTCTAAGTACTCATATTTAAATGTGGGTCTGTAATAGATTTTGTGTCTGATTTGAAAAGAAATCTAGTGAGTAGACGGTGACTTTTTCTTTGTGGATGTGTTTTCTTCCTGTGATTTTAAAAATTCCTTAATATTGAAGGGTAAATTTTCTTTTTCTGTCACTTTAACTTACCTGCTATTAATACTATTTTTTCTATGTGTTTTGATGTTCCCTCTCTATAACAGGTTTGCTTTCATTGTTTTGTATTTTGTTATTAATGTCACTGTTGATATTTGCTCTTTTTAAGAAAATTAGTCATTCATTATTAGTGGTATTTCACATCAGAATTTTGGGAAATAGTGTGCAAGATAAACTGTGAAAAAATTCTGTAAATGCAGCTATAAAAGGCATTGACTGGAGCCTTCTTCCTGGGGGCTTCCATTTAAATTTCTAAAGGAATAGTGTAAGCCCGTGATAATTTGTGAAAAGACCTGATGTAGGGGCCAGTTTTGATTGTTACAAAATATTGAAGACTCCTGGGTAGTCTCTATACCTAGGAGGCAACAACAAGCTAGAAGTTGATGTAGTTTGTGGGTATTAGGTCAGTTTTTTTTCTTAAGAGATGGGGGTCTTGCTGTGTTGTCCAGGCTGGTCTCAAACTTCTGGCTTCAAGCAGTTCTCCCACATTGGCCTCCCAAAGTGCTGGGATTATAGACGTGAGCCACTGTGCCTGGGCTAGGTCAACTTTTATGGAAGGTGGATTGTAAGGAGGGCTGAAAGGGTGCAGAAAGGAGGTAATAGCAATAGCATTTGGTTGCATACTTCACAGTGGTTTAAATTACATGGTTGAAGATCTGAAATTGTTATTGATCAGAAGTTTATATAGTAGATACTCTTTTGTATTTTCCTAAGTTTGTAGGGGAGGACTGGTTTAAGTAGTTACCACTGGAAAATGGTTGACTTAACCAGAAGAGAAGATAGGAATAGTGTATGCCAGTAGTACCATGTTTCCCCCAGGAAGACACCCTAGGGCTTATTTTCAGGGGATGTGTTACTTTTTTTTTGAGACAGAGTTTCACTCTGTTGCCCGGGCTAGAGTGCTGTGGTATCAGCCTAGCTCACAGCAACCTCAAACTCCTGGGCTCAAGGGATCCTCCTGCCTCAGCCTCCCGAGTAGCTGGGACTACAGGCATGTGCCACCATGCCTGGCTAATTTTTTCTGTATATATTTTTAATTGGCCAATTAATTTGTCTATTTATAGTAGAGACGGGTCTCGCTCTCGCTCAGGCTGGTCTCAAACTCCTGACCTTGAGTGATCCTCCCTCCTGGGCCTCCCAGAGTGCTGGGATTACAGGCGTGAGCCACCGCGCCGAGCCAGCATATGTTACTTTTTTTAAGTAAAGTACAAAAATCTATATTTATTCAAATATAGTTAAGTTGTCTTCTTCTGGAACATCATCATAACTCTCTAAACCCCAAATTCCATCGTCAATTTCTTGCAACTCTATTTCCTTTAGAACCATTGGCCCCAATCTCATGTCGAGCAATAGAGCTCTATGGGGCAGATGAGAAGTGCTGCTGTCTTTACCGCTCTGCAGCAAAATGCATGGGTTATGCAGATGTGCTGCGTAGCCACGCCCATCACTAGGTCTTATTTTCGGGGTAGGGCTTATATTGCACAAATGTTTAGAAATCCTGCTAGGACTTATTTTATGGGTAGGTCTTATTTTCGGGGAAACACGGTACAGTTAGGACAGGGTCAAGGTAGAGACTGGGTGAAAGTCACTCAGGTGAGAATTTAAGATGGCTATGGAATTGTCAATGATTCTTAAAAAGAAAAAGGATTGTCATTCTTGTTTTGTGTTTTTTTTTTCTTTTTTTTGGAGACAGAGTCTCACTCTGTTGTCCAGGTTAGAGTGCCAAGGTGTCAGCCTAGCTCACAGCAACCTCAAACTACAGAACTCAATCGATCCTACAGCCTCAGCCTCCTGAGTAGCTGGGACTACAGGCATACGCCACCATGCCCGGCTAATTTTTTCTATATATTTTTAGTAGGTCAATTAATTTGCTTCTATTTTTAGTAGAGACAGGGGTCTCACTCTTGCTGGTTTCGAACTCCTGACCTTAAATGATCCACCAGCCTCGGCCTCCCAGAGTCCTAGGATTACGGGTGTGAGCCACAGAGCCTGGCCTATATTTGCTTTTGATTAGTCTTACAGATTGTAGAGAGTAGAGAGATTGTACAATGTTTTAATCTAATCATCACCTTTCCAATGCAGGAATCCATTTTACAGATTAACATGTAAGATTATTCTTCCTCTGAATATCTCTAAAAGGATTTCATTGCTCTTAGAGAGCCATTCCAATGTTGGACACACTTGTTTGCTAGGAATTCTTTGTTATGTGAAGCTGAAATTTAACTCTCCCTATAAAATGATTCCCTTTGATTTAGTTGTTTTTTCTAGTGTGAATGGAATAACGCTACTCAGAGAGGAGGGGGGTCTATGAACTGTTTACATGTTCACAATTAATTAAGTGCAAAAACTTGGGAGTAAGCCTTTAGAAATTTTTGTAGCAATTTTTTTTTTTTTTTTTTTTTTGAGACAGAGTCTTGCTTTGTTGCCCAGGCTAGAGTGGCTGCGGTGGCGTCAGTGTAGCTCACAAAACTCCTGGGCTCAAGGGATCCTCCTGCCTCAGCCTCCCGAGTAGCTGGGACTACAGGCATGCGCCACCATGCCCGGCTAATTTTTTCCATATATATTAGTTGGCCAATTAATTTCTTTCTATTTATAGTAGAGACGGGGTCTCGCTCTTGATCAGGCTGGTTTAAAACTCCTGACCTCGAGTGATCCGGCCGCTTTGGCCTCCCAGAGTGCTGGGATTACAGGCGTGAGCCACCGCGTCCGGCCTATAGCAATTTTTTGTTGTCATGATATTCTTACTGTATTTTATGAAAGCATCTTTAATGCTTGAAGAAAAAGTTGGCCCTCAAGGTAGTTTGAGAAACACTAGTACAGGACCCATATCCTCTTATTCCCATGATAGTGTCTCAGATATTTGTAGGCTGCCTCAGTGTTTCCCTTTCCTCTTCTCCACGCTGTGTACTTCGTCCAGCTCTTCTTCCATTTTGCTCCATTGATTTCCAGACACTTTAGTTGCCTTAGGACTTTTGTTTTGGATATAGTTTTTTCTTTCTACAGGCACTTCGAGATAGGATTTGATTTTTTTTCTTTGAAGGCACTTGATGCATTCTTTTCTATCTGTGACCTAAAGTTGTATTTAGCTTTTATACCTCCCTTGTCATTCTTTTGACTTTTTGTTAGCTTTTTTACACTAAGGCCTATATTTCTCCTGTGAACTGCTGCCAAACCAGTTCTTCGCCTTGAACTAATGAAATAACTTTTTAACCCTAAATACATACTTGCTTATCTCTTTTAAGCTTTATTTAGATGCTTTTGGTGAATTATGTAAGCCTCATGATAACTTTGAATATTGATGACATGTGTATTATTAATAGTATTTATCTGCTGGTAACATTCAGCTTTGATAAGCAGCTCTTCTGTTCTTCTATTATTGGAGTCATTGATGAAAGTTTTGAACAGAATGTGGTGTTGAGAATACAGCTTTGTAGCCATTCCCTACAAACTTTTATCCGTTTTGATACAGAACCATTAATACATAGTTATTAGAGAAGGTTACTTATGTAGTGTAAATTGACCGTAGCATTGTAGCACTTAGATGTAATAATTTGGGGAATGTGAGAATTTCAATCACCGTATAATTGGTATACAGCTTTTTTCTTTTTTAAATTATTTATTTTAAACCAATTAATTTCTATTTATAGTAGAGACGGGGTCTCGCTCTTGCTCAGGCTGGTTTTGAACTCCTGACCTCGAGGAATCCGCCCGCCTCAGCCTCCCAGAGTGCTAGGATTACAGGTGTAAGCCACCGAGCCCAGCCAGTATACAGCTTAATAAATTACTCATGCCTTAGGGTAGCTTCATCCTGTGCTGCCTCTGTAGTAAAGATGCAGATAGATGGCTGAGCAAAAGAAGACATGGTGAATGGATTAGTGCAGAATCCTTACTTGGCCTAATAATATTAGTCTCCTACCTTCCAAGAGGGTACATTACAGTGTACTACTAAAATGATCATTTGCCAAAAGTTTCTCCCTCCCAGTCGTTATCCAGTAGGTATTTTGAGGGTTGTTTAGTAATACATCATAGGAATTACGGGCAATATTTTTTTTCCCAAGGAAGTTTCTCTTAGGTGTGGTAATGCTAGAAAACCAAGTTCCAAGCTAGCTGATATTTAAGATTCCTATATAGTTAACTTTCTTTAAGACTTTATTCAATATCTTTTAAAAGGTCAGATATACTGTAAAGTCTTGTCTATACTTATTAAAGTCTATAATTAAAAATTCAGCCGGGCGAGGTGGCTCACGCCTGTAATCCCAGCACTCTGGGAGGCTGAGGCGGGTGGATTGCTAGAGGTCAGGAGTTCGAAACCAGCCTGAGCAAGAGCGAGACCCCGTCTCTACTATAAATAGAAATTAATTGGCCAACAACTATATATACATTATAAATTAGCCGGCATGGTGGCATATGCCTGTAGTCCCAGCTACTCGGGAGGCTGGGAGCAGGAGATTGCTTGAGCCCAGGAGTTTGAGGTTGCTGTGAGCTAGGCTGACGCCACGGAACTCACTCTAGCCTGGACAACAAAGCGAGACTCTGTCTCAAAAAAAAAAAAAAAAAAAGAAAACACCAGATATTTTACCGGTCTAGGTTTAAAAACCGGTTGGATTTTTTTTTTTTTTTGAGGACAGAGTCTCGCTTTGTTGCCCAGGCTAGTGAGTGCCGTGGCGTCAGC